TGGTGTCCGCGAGGCGAGCGAGGTGAAGTATTGAGTTCGGAGAGAGGCGTGTCCCGAACTGCCGTTAGGCTTCCCAGTTCGGGTTGTTGCCTTTCATGTTTGCAAGGTGGGCTCCCAGGGAGAGCTCGGGCTCTTTGTAGGGGGTTCGGGCTCCTATATGGAGTTCGGGCTCCTTGTAGGGGGTTCGAGCTCTTTGTATGGAGTTCGGGCTCCTGTATGGAGTTCGGGCTCCTCGTAGGGAGTTCGGGCTCCTTGGGAGCGCTGTTGTGCCGAGCTGCTGTTTTTGCTATGTTGTTATTGTGAGATCGGGCCAAATCTTCCTTCATCAGTTATTAATGGAAGCATGTTCTGCTGTTTGTTTCTTGTATGCTGATCACAAGTGTGTAAGCTATTAGGCAATCAATTTTATGCATTTTTCTTCATTTAATTCCACTTTTTTGCTTTCATATGCATCCTTTAGTTCCCACTAATAGAGGCTCCAAGTGCTTTTCAATGAATGGAATATTCTAAATGTTCTGTCATACAAACATAGAATCTGAATCTGTTTTTGGAAGAAATTTTTCCTCTTATAAAATAAATGTCTATTTTCCCTCTGCCCTCACAGTCTTTGAGAGATGAGGAATCAATTAGTTCATGATACAAATTTTCTCCATCTATTTGAGTATGAAGACCACATGTCCCATGTTCTTTCCTATCAACTAAAGCTCAAAGTAGGAATCTGTGATCTCTCTGTACATTTGTAACATATTATACAGAATACGGTAAAAATAATCAGTAAACCCTTGTTATCCTATAAGATGATTCTTACATAGCCACCTAATGAATGCTCTGACCTTACTCTATGGAGAATGAGGATTGATTAAATAGACATCCTGGACAGATAAAGATGAAGAGCTGATCCATGTCCCTTCAGATGACAAATTCTGGGTCTGGGCTCCACTTGAATCCTGGAGTATCATCTGTTGGAAATATTCCCTTATTCCTGAAAACCTTGAATCTTCACCAGATATGCTTGGATCCGAAATCTCATCTTGGATGGCCATCGAGCCTTCTAGCATGCTCACCACTTGGGACATGCTAGGCCTAAGTGTGGGAGATGCAGTAATGCACAAGAGAGCTACTTTAATCATCCTTTCCACCTCTTGCCTATTGAAATCACTTCCCAACCTTGGATCCACCAACTCCAGTAAGCTTTCTCTCTTCTGCAAAAGAAAGGCCTGCAATAACCATGCACATAAGAAAAATTACAATAGAATAACATATAGAAAGGAACTTAAAATACAATAGTAATCTTAAGTCTTAACAAGAAGCAATTTCTGCATACTGGACAAACAATCTAGCTTACCCAATCTAGAAGACAAGTGCAATCACTCTTTGGCCTATATGTTGAGTTGGTTCTCCCACTAACAATTTCTAAAGCAACCACTCCAAAGCTGTAAACATCTGCCTTGAAGGTGAGGTGACCCCATAGAGCATATTCCGGTGCCATATATCCTCTACAAATCAAGATTATAATTACACCTTTATGTTAAGATAATCTTGTTGTTTTCAAGAAAAGATCATGAAACATTAACTGAACATGAAAAGCACTTATTCAAGTAGTAGAACTAGCATGCACCATCAGTCATGCTAGGAAGATATTGTAATGACTAACATGGTTCCAGCGACTTGAGTGCTGATATGGGTCTTTTCCTCTTCATCAAGCTTGGCCAACCCAAAGTCAGATATCTTGGGGTTTAGATCCCTGTCAAGTAGTACATTGGTACCTTTGATGTCCCTATGAACAATTTTGAGTCTTGATTCTTCATGGAGAAAGGCTAAACCTCTGGCTATCCCAACACAGATCCTCTGTCTAGTTGGCCAGTCTAATTTCAATGGACCATCATCTGGACCTACATATACCAGATAAATGTCCAGTCAACTAAAACTTCTTATTCAGTAATTTGTGTTCTAAAATTATGGGATGCATTTTCTTTTTGTTTTTAAAATAGTAATCACATTGAAGCAAATAAGTCAAATCTTACCAAACAAAGCACGAGAAAGACTATTGTTTTCCATGTACTCATATACTAATAGCAATTGGTCTTCTTCGATACAACAACCATAAAGTTTAACAAGATTTGGGTGTTGCAATCCAGATATCATGCCAATCTCATTTACAAATTCACGATTTCCTTGCTTTGATTTGGAAGAAAGTTGCTTAACTGCAATTAAAGTACCATCCAATAGTTGTCCCTGAAAAGGAAAAATGGCATAAAATTTAAACCAAACTGATATTTTACCAAACATTGTATAAGCTGTTTTAAGTAGAGTACCTTATAAACAGATCCAAAACCACCTTCTCCAATCTTGTTTGCTGCATCAAAGTTGTTGGTTGCAGCTTTAATTTGTCTTAAGGTAAAGGAACCCGTTTGCAGATCTAGCCCTCTTAAATCTGTCCAAGGAGCCAGGTAAGAGAATGCTGATTAATGAAGAGTCACTATGGTGCTTTGCATCTGAAGGACATACTTTGGTTAATGCCAGAACCCAAAAATGTTCAAAGAGAAAGGACAGAAAACTGAACTGAGTTCTCTTGAGAGAAACTTTTACATGTTTCTTTAAATTTATCAATTTCATGTTATTTTAGTTAATTTAAATACTAAATGTCCAGAAAATTGTGAGAGACCCAAATTGTTTATGCTAAAACTGGTATATGGGTTCGACATTTAGGCTCAGTTTGGAAGGAGTACAAATACAAATATGTACAGTACAAATACATACGAAATAATACAAAATATGAGGTTTTACACTCTACACATTTTGTATTTGTACTCCTTCCAAACTGAGCCTTAACTTTGCACTACTTTTCCTACACATAGAATGCCTCTTTCCTTTTATTTCATCACTACTGCTGCTTTTCCTTAAATGTTTTAACTGCCATATTTCCCTTTTATTGTAATGGTTGGACATGGGTTTCATTTTGGCATGTATAAACAAAACAAACTGGACTGCTTTCAGTTAGTTGTTGAAAGACCCTGATAAAGTGCCCAGTTTTCATGCTTTGGGTAGTAATCCTCAAACACAGAAATGAGCCGGATCAGGTAGTATTGCACAATTTTATCCTTGATTGGTGCAAATCTTTACCACCCTCTACAGATAAAAATAGCCTCCAGAACTATAATTTAGTAGAAAATAAGTAGGAGAGAACATATAAAATCTTCTCTTCTGAATTTTTCAATTATTGACCAACATGGACTTGATTTGAGTAGCAAGGGGAGGGGGGAGTAAAATGTGTGCAATTGAATTAGACCAAACCTTTATATCTCCTGTTTTTGCCTCCAAGATAGCCTTTCCACCAAATAACAACCAAGACCAAGATTATAAGGATTGACACAAAAGCCCCAATTGCAACACCTATCACAATTTTCTTCGTTTTATCTTCTGAAGGAAGTTTGAAATCTGTCAAAAAAGAATGACCAAATAATCCCATGTTAAGTTACCAAAAAAAATGCTGACCAAACCTATATTCCATAATATTAAATAATGAAAATTTAACTAACAAGGAGAGAGTGAAGAAGAATAACCAAAAGCAAATGTGCACTAGAATTTGGTTTGACTTTTTATTCATTAGGATTTGCTCCCACAACATATCATATATGATAGTATAGTAGCTATGAATTGGAATTGGCTGGACCAGGGTGGCTGAATTTTCAGCTTCTTTCACTTCCAAAAAAAGGAGCTATCTAGGAATAGTTTAGTTCAGAAACATTTTCCTCTCAATCCTTCAATTTTAATTGGCTCTAGTAAATATTTAGTTGTTTTCATTTGAAACCATTCAAATTATAAACTTCATGAAGGTAGCTCAATTTCAACAACACCTGTAGAAGGGCAGTGCTGCATGACATTAGTAACAGAAACTACTAAGCTACTCTCTAAACCTGCAACTATAATTTGGTCATCCTCCTCACAGTTTGAAAATTTTAACTCTATATTAATTGCAAGAAATATGGTATTGGAGTCTGTTAGTAAAATTGTTTTGTCGGTTCTAAACAACCAAGGAATTAGTAGTAGTATTAGTAGTAACTTACTGTGTTCCACAGAAATAGCTGATATAAGAGGACCATAAGAGTATCCCCTTGCAGGGATGATTGTTGTTCCTTTTCCAGCCCAGTAAAAGCGGATCTCTAGAGTATTGTTTGTCACAGTAGCATTATACTTTTCTATGTGTTCTTTACCAGCCCCACCTGCTTCATGTTCAATATCAAAATCTTTCCGCATCAATTTTCCCTACACAAAATTTGCTTATTTACTTAAACCATTCTTCACCATGAAGATAAACATATATAGTTTCTATAGAATGATTAACAATACCTGTATATAAATATCAAACAGGCGCCTCCCAAGACTACTAAATGTGTTATCATTTGTGAAAACTATTTCTGCAAAGTGCAGACTCACAGTGTAATTACCATTTTGTAAACAATGTCCATAATAGGTGAAAGAAAGCGGAGAACGGCGCGCTGTTGTGTATAATTGGTAATTTTTCATTGTAAGTACTGATGTATTTGTAACAATGAAATTATCTGCCTCTTTGTTGTCACCTATGAAATTTCCAGTGCTACTAAATCCCCAACGTTCATTTGCAAAATATGATTTTGAAGCACCACCTACATTTTTATCTCCTTCATATTTGTTTCCATCATCAAGTGTTACCTCAGGCCCTCCACAGTTTATATGTAATGAGGACCAATCTGCAAATAACAAGCATGGTATATATAAATGTTGATAAATATCAATACTAAAAATTAAAGCAAAATATCATTTTTTTTTCTGTAAGTGATAAACTATGCAATATCCACACAATAAGAGAAAGAGACTTCTTTACCAACTGTAAGTCATAACTTGAACCTTGGCTATAGAATTATATTTAGGAGCAAGAAGCAAAAACTTTCATAGTTGGCAATGTTATCTCAAGAACTAAATACTTACATTTTGTACACTTGGAACTGGAATTCGAACATGGAAGGAGATCCCTTATAAAATGATATTAAGAACATGTTAGAAAAGAAGTATGGCATTTATCTGTAAACTAAATAATTAAGATTTTTTTTAATATAGTGTTAGAGGTGAAAAGATTTCTCTTTAGGCTCAATTTGGGAAGAGTAGAAAATCAAATAAGCACAGTGCAAATACAAGGTTTAGAAAAATAAAATACAAGATTTTGCACTATATATAGTGCAAATACAAATATGTTCAGTGCAAAACCTTGTATTGGCTTCAGCCCCCACAAGGGCAAGGTACTGTATGTTAATTAAACCTAGTAAGTGGGTTTGTGGGGCTAGTCACAAAGGGAAGCCTCATGACCAATTCAACACTATTGGATTGGCCCTACAGCCTTAACAGCCCTAACCCTTCAAAGTCATTAATTACCCTAGGCAAGGGCAGATAAGCCAATAAAAGCTTGGCTATTCCCTTCAATGACAATGAGGAATCACGTACTGTTCTTACCTCTTAGAATTAGAAACCTTCTGCTGTTGTAGTTATTTATAGAATCTAACAAAAAAACTTCAAAGAAAAAACTAACTTACCAGTTATGTTTCATGCTTCGGAACAAGTTTCTTGGAACAACAAGAACAAATTCAAAGGAAAGAAAAATTAGTATTACAAATCATTTCAACATTGATTGAAACTAAAAACTTGTACAGAGGCATTCTTACATATTATCCATACAACCTTCTTGCCCAAGGCTTTCCCATGTAAAACTATTATACGAAAGATCACTGCATGTAAAATCAAGTAAAATATCGCATTCAAAAGTTTATTCCTTCAATTTATTTGAAGGGAAACTGTAGAAGTTCCATTTCTCAAGTTTGTGAATATGTGTGTTCAATAAAAGAAAGAAAAATTAAAGTCAAGTTGAGATTTGAGAAATATACATATGTTCTCCAGCTGACAACATCCACTCTGGTATGGCTCCCTCGAACATATTGCCAGTTAAATAACTAATTAAAGAAATCATAGTAGGTGTAAGTACCAAGTAATTGATTACTTGGTTTGTTGGTGTTAGGGCTGCAAATGGGTTGGATTGCAATCTGATGTCATCTGCATCCCAGTTTGATCCAAATTGAATCTTATTCATTAAGGCTCGATCAGCCCATTGATGAAATTGTTATTCTTTTTTCCATCTTATTATCTTTATTTTTTATCATAAAACTATTAAAAACAAATTTTCATATAACCAGCAATGATAAAAAATGGGCCTAAAAGTTAGGACCAGTTGTAGGTCAGGGCCCAAAACACAGCCCAAGACTAGCTAGGGTAGGCTGGGCTTCAGTCTCATTGGGACAGCCTAACCAATATAGTCTCCTATGAGACTTGAACATATGACTGCTTGGTGAAAACACAGCATGCATTCAAACCAACTTTATGTAAGTGACGGGTCAAATTAGAACTGCCAATGAATTTCAAATTCAATTTTGGATAAAGGGAAAGGGGTACCTTTTGCAGCCCTACTTGACGACACCCTTAAACACTTGCTTTGAACCCAATACAAAAAAAATAAATAAATAAACTTTGAATCACACGACTTACATGTATTTGGGTTCTATATCTGTTCTTTTGTTAGGGATGGGTTGTTTTAATTTGTTGAAACTGAGGTCCCTGCCCATAATCAGAAGACAATGAGTACATGTTCTTGACATAATATAGCTTCTAATTGTACCAGTGAATATTGTATTTGCAGAAATTATAACAAATTTTGAACTAGAAGTAACCAATTTATTAAATCAATATGGGGGGCAACATTTACAGCTCATAGTGCTGCTCTTCACAACTTCAGTACTATGACACCTGTTTCTGTACCATAGAATTTGTATTATATGAATGATTAAAGGAAAACTTTTAACTTACATAATTTTAAGTTTATCCAAATTCCATATATTTGAAGGGATTGTATCAGAAATATTACAATTCCTCAAAATCCTGAAACAGAAAATCAAATTAGCCACTACATTATTCATTAGTAGAATCTCTAATCAACAGAAGTTGTAAAAGGAGGAGAATTTAACATACAATGTTCTCATTCCTTTCATTTTACCCAGATCAGGAAAAGTTGATTGATTCCCATGTATGTCACTAATCCTCCTGTAGATCAAAATTACAGCAAGGATAACTACAAAAGGATGAACCTTTCAAATTGTAGATTATTGAATCGACAACTGAAGAAACTGCATTAACATGAATTTATGACTTACAAATCAGTTAAATTTTGTAGAACAGAAATGACTGAAGGAATTGGTCCCTCTAGCCCACTAGCTTGCATTACCCTTCATCAATACAAATTGAAATTAAGAATCAATTTATGAGAAAGTAAAATTGGAAATATTTACCACCAAAACAAGTGATTTAATATTTTAAAAAAGAATCATCATACATTTTGTCAAGGTGTGTCCAGTTTTGGATAAAATCTGGTATTGGTCCACTAAGGTTGTTATCACTTATTGAACTGCATTATAGCAAAAGAGACATGTTTTTTTAGTGTTGAATAATCAGTAAAACCTGTACATTGAAAAAGGAAAAATAATATGATCTTACAATTCTTTCAAGTTTATTAAATTTGCAAGTTTTGATGGCAAAGTTCCTGAAAAATTATTGGATGAAAGTGACCTGCAATCACAAAAAAGTTATTAAACTGAACCATAGAGTAAATAAAGATTTTTATTATAAAAAAAAAAGATGTAAGCAAAAACATAATAAAAGATAGATATGATAATGAATAACATATCTTACAAATTCTTTAATTTGATTAGATCCCCAAGCTCCGAGGGAATAGCTCCAGAAAGTTGATTGGCTTCAAGGCTCCTATAAATTTGTTTTAATTTGAGATTACTCTGAGAATTAATACAAAATTCTTGAAACATAACCTATTTAAGTGGATTTAAATAAAAATAAATAAATTTACAAGTAAAAAGACCCAAAACTCACAGGTATGTGAGATTGGCCATTTTTCCTATTTCTTTTGGAATTTCCCCTGATATGCGGTTCCCAACAAGAGATCTGTATGAACAGAACAGTTCTCAATTAATTGGTAGATAAATACTCAAAAGCTAACTCTGATTTTCTAAACAAAATGATATCTTACATAAACTGTATGTTCTTCATAGAAGCCCATTCAACTGGTATTGTTCCGTTAAGGAAATTACGTCTAAAATCACTGTAAAAGAGAACAAAATTTTCTTTTGGTCATTATATTTAAGCTTTTTGGTCAAATATAATTTATTATTAAAGAAACTAATAAATTTATACAGTAAGAAATAAGGCATTTAATGTAAATGAAATAAATTTGTAAAAGTTCTTACATATGTTGAAGATAGGGAAGATTGGCCAGCTCCGGTGGAAGCCTACCTGAGAGATTTTGATTCTTGAGGATCCTGTAATGCAAGAAAAGATTCAGTAAAAATTTGCTTACATAATCCTGGTTTTCTCTACTCAACACTTGTTTACTCTTAATTAAGTATATACTTCTTTACCTAATTAACAGTCCAATTATTTCTCATCAAGATTGTGGTAATGAATGCATGTACGTAGGAGATACCTATTTAGGAACATTTAATACACCAAGGCCAGAATTAATTCCCCATTTCTCATGTAAAAATACTAATACAACTTCCTTTCCTAAAACACCTATTTTTACAACATGTTCTATTTTTGAAAACTAAAAAAATTAACTCATCAAATTAAGAAGATGATCATGGTGGGTTCCCATTAAGTGAGAGCATGAGAGATAAATTAAATCAACAAATTTAAAAAAATAAAAATAAAGATATAGGCATGCTTAAGATCATAAATTAAATTGCCACTATGATCTAGCATCCTAATAAGTAACATATTTAAGATGATATGTCCTACTGTTGAGCCACTCCCAACTATTCCAACTTTTTACAAGAGGTTTTTTTTTTGGGGGGGGGGTTTGTTTGTTGCAATTTCCATGTTGTAAAAGTTTCTTGAGTTGGTATTTTGATAAATTAATTTTTTTTCATCACAAAACTTAAAAACATGAATTTTAAAATAAAGGTAAATTTATAGTCAGACGCGGCTGTATATTTAAATTTATGCTGCAGGTTGGTTCAGAAACCGATAAAATTTTGACAGTCGGCTGTATATTTCAAATTATAAAAACCTCCGCCATGTCATTAGAAGCTTGTGTGGTTGTTACCAACATGGGACTCTTAATCCATATGGACATAGCATGGATTATTTGAAAAAAAAAATTAAAAAAGAATGATAGAAGAAATTGACGGAGAATGAGAGATCAACCGAGGGAATGGGAAAAACAGAGGGAATGGAATAAAAAGTGAAAATTCTTTTTTTTTTAAATAATCGATACTGTATCCAACATGTAACATAAATTTAAATGTACAACATTCTGATTATAATTTTCCTTAAAATAAAATATAACAATTTTATTAAACAATGAACTTTTTGACTTGACTTTATGCAACTCTTAAAAACCTCGCCCTGCATCTTCTACAGGGGCTAAGCGAAGCATCCAAGAATTGCATAAAAACACAGGGATTGGTGTATGTGCATTAGCAATAAATCGTCGATAATAAACTACAACAATGAGAGAAAGGAAGTACGAGTGTGGAGTTTGGAATGTGCATACATTGATATGACGTGGCAAGTGGTGCCATTATTGTAAGAGCAGTCACAGGTAACGTTGTTGTTGAACTTTCCTTTTGGGTTTTGCGTCAACCAACTCGATTCATTGATGCACGGATCAACGCCAAAATTCCAATCAACTTTGTGCAATGTTTTGGCTATTTCTCTCAGAGCACCCACTGAATCCAAAAATTCAATCAATCAAATCATATGAGACAATTTCTAAAGAATATGATAATATTTTTGATTATCATGGAAAATAAGAATGCAAATGCTACTATATATATATAGTTGGGCTGATTATATATATTATAGGCCAATATAACTTTTATTTATAGAATTTATTTTATACATTATATATATTATAAAATATTTATATATTTATATTGATGTCTTACTATAACATCAAATATAATATAAAATAATATAGACATGTACAAATTATGCGTATATATGGGCCAAGCCTGAAGTATTGGGCCCAACGCCCAGGCCCTGGTTGGGCTAAATGATCAGCTCAAACTACACCTGTTGTGTACACCATTATCCAGAAAAATAAAAATAAATATAAGGCCCGCTTAACAAAGCTAACAACAACAATGAGAGGTGTAAGTCGGGTCATATTTGCCTCTTCTAGGATATTTTAAAGGTCAGGTCTGGCATGGTTCATGGCACAAGCCCAAACGGGCCTAGGCCAAGATAACCGCAGGCTGGATTGTGGGCTTTGCCTGGTCATGAACTATGTTGTATCAGGTCACGGGTGGCATGGCCCAATTTATAACTCTAGTAATAATACACGGCCCATATGTTATAGTGATGGGCCATGCTGTGAGGCCGCAAAAATCCTACTAATGAAGTGTTGGAAAGGGCTTTGTGAGGTGGGTTAATTGTAAACAGTCTACACGTAAAGTTTGATAAAAATAAAAAATAAATTAATAAACAAACAAGCCGACAGCCCAAATTTTCTGTACTTCGGCCAAAGAAAAAGATTGGTTTTCCATTGAAACTTGTTTGGGTATATTCTCTAAAGCAGCTCAAAGAAGCAGGCAACTTAACAAGAACTCACATGGCAATTAAAATTAAAAAGCAGTTCAGTTGATTTTGATTTTGAAGTTAATTCAACTGCCGTCGTTTCAGACTTCCGAAACGGCGGCCCAACCATGAATTATCTATCTGTCGAAATAATTGCCTTCTTGGACCATTCATATCCTTCATTAATCTGAATACGTTCTCGTTCACGTTGACTTGACTTATATCTCTCCTATTTCTGCCGCGTCTATGTATTATATTAACTATTATTCTATATATGAAGATTGGAACCATATATACGGTGTTTGAACTTTCAACTTTGAAGAGAGCCAATCACTCTCTCATGTCTGATTGTCTGAACAACTTGACTCACTGACCCGGTTTCACGTGTCATGAGACTACCAAAGACAGGACACCCCATTTTGATGGTCCCACCAAAAGTTGGCCACATTAACCAATCTTTTGTCCACCATGCATCCAGATGAGATGAGCATGAGAAAGACACGGTTGGGTTCATGATTCAAGCCTAAGCTTTGAGTTTGAGGCCTAACATCGTAGCTAAATTATGTTTGGATTCTTGACAGAAACAGAAACAGAAAAGAAAAAAAAAACCATCTCTATGATCCTTGCTGAAACGCCCCAAGACAAACAAAGACCCCAAGTTTATATGATTATTCCAAGGCTGTTTTTGGTTTGAGGGAAGTTAAATTTTGGCAAGGTTCAACAAGCTATGCTGCTATATATGGATTCTCTCTCTCTCTTTTTTTTTTTTGCTTTCACAGAAGTGATAATTTACTAAATTGATCAGTAGCAGACTGCCATGCTTCTGCATTTCCTTCTCATCATGTTCTTGCCTTTTTCTGCATTTCCTTCTCATCATGTTCTTGCCTTTTTCCATGTTGCAGTAGAAAAATCCTTGCTCCCCACAGTCTTTGCTCATTTAAAAATCAAAGGAAATTCAAAAAACTTGAACTACAATTCATTCATCATGCAAACAAAGTGCTGGTGTAACTATAGAGAGAGAGAGAGAGAGAGAGAGATGGGTTATGGAATTTCATACCTTCATCTTCAGGCAGCAGCTTATTTGCGGCATGGCATCTCGATAATGCTCCAAAGCAACAGAGTACGAGAGCTGCAGAGCAAAGGAACAAGCGTCCATAGTAGATGTCCATCTCTACACTCTGCAGAGGTTGCTTGGACGACCTTGGGGAAATAAAAGAGTTAGAGCTTCATATTCCAAGCTCCCCTTCTCCTTAAAAGACCCATCTAGTCAATATTAAATTCATCAGTAGCCAACCAATCTGTTTCATTATTCATTATTTATAATATTTAGCTAAATCAATACTTTATGATTTTGATATATTTGTGCTTTTATGTTAATTATTGTAAGAGATATATGATATAAATATATATACTCCATATACTTAGTAAAACAATGGGTATTGGTGCCGTCTGATTGGCACATCTGGTCTCTGAGATTGGAACAATTAATGTTGTGTCCCTACAAAGGGTCGTTGGCTCGTTGCATGTGCCTTGCCTGTATATTAAATGAATGAAGCTGACTTCTTGGTTTCTGTGGGCTATGAAGCAGACATAAGCTTTCCTGTTTGTATGATTTTCTTTCTAGCTTGTCGACTCTTGAGCAAATTTTCCAAGTAGTCCAGCCCATTTTGTGATTACTTGGATCAGAAGACCAAGTTAGTCAGCTTTGCCGATTAGCAATACAATTTAATTAATGGGCCAATAAATGAATACCTAATGAATCCGCATCACCTGCTAATAAAACACGTTCCAATCAACCCTCTGTTAACATGATCTTACACCATACATCTCATGAGATCGGCTTTCATAGTTCCATCAGGATAAACTTGTGCCCACACCGTTCTAACAGCCTTTTGCAACTTTACATTGGGAATATGTATAGAGATATTTTTAATGCAAGGCAGTAAAGGCTGTTCGAATGGGCTTTGCCCTGACTGAATCCGAACTCACATCTCATACATGATGATCCTACTTTTATGGTGGATTCCAGTCTCATAGAGAGATGTGCGGTGTTAGATCAAATTAATAGAGGGTTGGAACGTGATTTGTTGGCAGAAGATCTTAACTCTCTTCTGATAGCATAGACAATATAGACCCCGTTCGATTCATCCTGGACTGAAAACCCAACTGATCCAATTTAGGAATCAACCTATGGCCATAAACCAGTGGTTCGACAGATAACCACACCTTGTTGATGACATGACAAGATTGGAATATAGCAGGTGTGCAAGTAAAGGTTAAAGATATATATAAGTTAGCATTATATAATCAAGTAATATCTATTAGGGGTGCAACTTGGGTGGGCCCAGCCCAAAATTTTATATGGGCTGGACTTTTGGTCCTCAAGCCGGGCTCAGGCCCAAGAAGTTGGTTTTTTTTAATTTTCAGGCCAGGCTTGGGCCTAGCCCCTGGACCTGGCCTGAGCTCGGCTTAATTATACACATCCATACATACATATTTATACTATATAAATTTTGTATATATATTTATATATATATATATATATATATATATATACGTAAATATATGTATATATATTTACATAAAATAAAAATGTATGTATAATTTTAGAGTGGGGTTATTGACAAACCCAAGCCCAAACCCAATCCGAATACATCAAATTACAGTACGGACTAGGTTCAGGTTGGGAAGATCGATTTTGACCTCGACTCGATCCAAACTTAGGCTTTATGTCCAAATTTTGGGATTGGGCCCAGGTTGGCCATAAGCCCGACCCAACCCGCCTGACATGCACCCCTAATATCTATCCATCTGTGGACTGTGGAAGTATGGGGGATCCAACAATCTTTCAACCCTTTTCTTCTCTCCGACTCTGACATTCACAGCCCCTCCAAGGATGTAGCCACTCTCCCTTTTACCTTTTACCTCTTTCATTTCAGCCACTCCTCCGATCGACCTTTAGAGGCCAAACCATCGCCTCCCCATATCCATATTCTTCTGCATCTTTGTCAATCAAAGCCCATAAGTGAAATTTAATATTATTTTCATCATCCTAACTACTCGACACTAACCACTGAACCATTGCCTAACAGAACGGGGGAGACGTGGAGAACAGACAAACACATACACATCAGTTCATATTAACCACGAATTTAAATAACTTAATCAACTATCCTTTGATAGTGGCTCTTCTAAAGTTGTCCTCAATATCCTTTGGTTTCTGGTCCTTATCCCTATATATATATATATAACATAAACTTACTAGCTGCTAATAAAACCTATCGCAATCTAATCCATATATATCAAATCCAAAGGTTAAATAAATTTATTTACTATTGCAAATATATTAGTTAATAGAATATTTTACGATAATTAGCTACGCATACATTGCAGCCCATGATTGGTTTAACTGATCAATCATCACTCCTTCAAAGAAGGATTTTGTTGAATTTTTGAAGAATAGAAATCTTCAGAGGTATATACTTATCATTAGGGATGCAAACAGATTGGATTCGAATTAGGGTATATTTGAATCTGATCTGATACTGTTCAAATTGAATCTGATCGGACCTAATAGGTTTTGATCTGAATTTGAATCATATATATTGGATCTTTGGATCTGATTTTATCCGACTTTTTTTTTAAATTAATAAATTATTAAAAGAAAAAAAAACAAAGTATACCAATTTAAATAAAGGAAAAAAATAAAATACAAGTATTTCTTAATTATTTTTATCATATATATACATCTTTTTTATAAAATTTAAATATTATAATAAATTTATAAAAATACAATATAAATAATATATTTATAAATAAATAAATAACACACATATATACAACACATCAAATCGAATCTTCCAGGATTAGATAGGGGTGATCCGAATCCGATCCATTCCGATTTGAAAATTTGAACAAGAGTGTCCTAATTCGACCAAATAGAATCGAATGCATCATAATCCAATCCATTTGCACCCGACGTATCATGATAATTAGACTGATTTCACTGGAACCAACCCACTTGCTTTGGTGGGAATTCAAGAAAACATTAGAGGAATCCCCAAAAGTTGTTTTGGAGTTTTCTGCTCTTCTTGGGTTGCAAGTGGGGGAGTTGAGATGACTTCTGTTTTGTTTTGTTTTATTTTTCCTACTAGATAATGCTGCTCTTTTAGTGAGAAAAGTCAAATATTCAATATTGATTTTCGGATTTCTACCTGAGGGTGAGCATTCGGTTTGTTAGGTTAAAAACCGAACCGAATAAACCGAATTTTCAAAAATCGATATACTTATTTGAAAAACCGAACCGAAACCGAAGTTTGCAAAAACCGAACAAAGCGAGCCGAAATTTTTTTTCGGTTACTTCGGTTGATTAGGTTAAAACAGAATTTGCTTGCTACTCTCGATCATTCCTATGCATTTGTGCAAATGCATATAAAATTTACAGTACAAATTTTAAGCAAAGAACTTAAAAACTAAAGAATCCGGTGGCTAAAAATTTTTCGCAGTCCAGATTCGGTGGCTAACAAAAATACCAGGAAGATTTGAAGATGAAAAGGGAAAAATAGAAAACAAAATACTTGTACTGAATCATTCAAATGGCAAAGAAGAAAAACAAGGAGGGAACTACAATGAACCGAAAAACTATAGATTAAAGAAGACCCACTGGATTCTATCACTTGCCGCCGCCCGCCAGAAAAATTGGTTTGCTGGATGTTGAACGTTGGAGTAGTAAGCTGGAACTGGAACTCGTAGCTTGCTACTACTTTCTTGCTCAAACCTTCGAACGCTCACCGCTGCTACTTTCTTGCTCAGACGTGCTCACCACTGGATGTTGAACCTTGAAGATGAAGGTCGATGGTTAAAGAGACAAAGACTAATGGGTTTTGTCCTATGGGTAATAACCTTTGGGCTTTTCACTATATTTGTCTTAAAAGTTCAACATTTTGGGTTTTGACCAAAGGCTAATAACCTTTGGACCTTTGGACTTTTCATTATATTTGCATATTTACTGATTTACCCCCTAAAAGTTCGGTTTTTTCGATTAACCGAACTATTAAATCTCATAACTGAAGTTTGGCAAACCGATTTTTAAAACCGAAACCGAACCAATTTTTCGAAATAACCGAACCAAAAACACCAAAACCGAATTTTCGGTTCCATTATTCCGTTTCAATCGAATTATGTGATTATCACAATACAACATTAAGGGCTTTTCAGCAATACCCAATTCCTCAAATAATTACTTCAGCCACACCATTACCCATCTCCTCAACAAATCACTAAATTGAAATTAAATTCTTATTCACTAATTAAAAAGATAATTGTTCAATTTGATTTCTTCCTCCATAAAATGTTAGCATGATTAGATGACATTTAACCCATTGAAACTGATGAGGGGCGATTTGGCCCGACCTAGTGAACAGTGGGCACGTGGCTGCGACCTGATAATTGGACAATGACTAGGCGTCTTCCTACCACATCAGCAATGCTTGTCACCTCGGTGAGTCAGGCCACCTCGGGTGTCTCGAGGACCTCAGCAAGGACCAATGTTCGAGTAGCTCAGAATGGCCCAACCAACCGAGGTGACACGTAGCGGATTTCTAGAAGCATGCCAGCTGTCTCTGAACTCTTCAGGATCACGCCACACGACCGTAGTCCTCATCCCGCCCAAATCGGACGGACAAAATAGGCCTTATCGGCTAGCATGTTATCTACCTCTCAGGGCGGGATGGACTCCTAATGGCACAGGCTGAAGATCTCAGAGGTGTTTCGTGAGATCCACGGCCACTCATCTATATAAGGGCACCAACCTTGCAACCCAAGTACATGCGATTTTATTGCTTACTAGCTTTCATATTCTCAAGCTTTCAACTCGCACACAGCCAAGTACTAACTTATACATCAGAGCGACCAAGTTGGGTTAGCCACCCCAGGTTCTCTGATCCTACCTGTCTTATAGTTTGATCAGTCAGCTAAATAACCGACGTCCGGACTACCATCCAGCTAGGAACAACCAGATCGTACACCATCAGAAACTATGCATTGTTTGTTGAGATTCGCACGTTGAATGGATGGTGTCTCACATTGGAAAGGGATAAAGAAAGGCAAGGGACTTTTATACAAAGTTGACCCAAACTCCCCCAGCTCCCCAAACATTATTTTCATAGCCATTTATTTGCTATAACCCTTTTTTATCCACAATCCTAATGAATTAAAGTAAAGAAAAAAAAAACATAATTTTTTGACTGTTATATATCCCTACTGATCAGATATGTCTATTTCAAAGCGTTGTCAAGCTTTTCTTTCTTTCTTGTGTTCAAACATGGAACCCATTATTTAAAACTGAGTCCCTTTCACGTTCAAACATGGAGAACCTATTCGATCAAAACTAAGTACTAACATGACCTACCCTATTTCTGCATGTGGAGTAGTGATATGGCTGATTTAAACTGCCATTGGTTAAGAGACTCCTTCGATCATCCACCCGTTTACTCCTCCATGCATCCAAGTCAGCTTGTAATAGTAGTAGAGTTTTCCCTGAAAACAGAACTTGTTCAGAGCTCAAATACTTCAATTAGAAAAGTGGGGGTAAATGCTTATTCTTTGCAAGTGCATTATTAATGAAGCACATCTGACACTAAACCCCAACTTCAAGAAGATCATACGGTTGAGAGCGCACATGCTCAAGTTTAATACAAAGTATCTAACGACTCCAGATCTGTTAGAATTTACTTCCAATTTGGTGTTTCTACCTATGTTTTGTTTCTAGCATATCTACAGTCTATTTGAAGCAAGTATCAAAATATCAATATGATATACCCTATATTCAAAGTGATGGAGACTCATAGATACACAAATTTACAGGATTGAGGGGTTTTGAAAGTTTGGGATGATAGAAAGCAAGCACTCCCTCTCAAGCCCATAAGATAAAAAACAAGAGTATCGGTCTTACGCACCAATACCCAATTTTAGTGTTGGGCCTATGGATATTTTGATCCTTGTTTCCAGGGAGAAGTTTTTGCTGATACAAGAAATCACATTTGGGTTTATCATATCAATATTTTAAACTTGGTAAAAGGATGTGTCCTCTGTTTTAATGTTGGATTTTGGCCACCACTGAAAGCAAGGAGAAAGACGATATACGCTAGGGCTATGGTTAGCAGATTAGTGGGGTTAGGGTTTCAAGGATTCAGGTGGAGCCCTCTGGCATATACACTGCAGAAAGCCTTTTTTTCCACTGGTTTGAATCCCATGGCCTCTAAATGGAAGGTATGCCAACATACCCCTTAAACTAGACAATTATTGGCCACGGGCCACCGGGTTTGTGTCCATACCCTTCATCTTTTTTCTCCCACATACTGTCATACAGTTCTCTTCGGAGACGGGCACAAGGAATCTGCTGTCAGCAAAAAGCATGTCAATACGCTGATAGCACGGCATCCAGCTGCACATTGAGAACATCTTCCCATGAACGTAACATACAAGTACAGGAGATGTTCCCAATGTGCGGCTGGATGCCATGTACTTTTGTTGGCAACAGATCCGGGCTCGATACAGGCAGGTTATGGGTATATTTGAACCATTGCGGTGCTTTGTGAAGTCCTGTTTATCAGAACTAGCAATATCCAACCTCCTCCTAAACAATAAAACAAAGTCGAAATGGGAGGATGGAGTCCGAAAAAACTAACAAGTAAACAATCAATCTTTTGGAATAATAGTCCCAACTTTTTATGGGTGCATCGGTGGGTTTCATTAAAGCCGCCACCCAACATTTATAAAACAAAACTTTGATTCATGTAATGAAGCTAACAACCTCTATGGTAAATATGTGTGCACACTTGGCAATTCATCCTACAAGTAGGTAAATTTTTCTTCACAAAGTTCTTCCCCACAAAATCTCAAAAATTCTAATTCTCAATACAGGGGAATAAAAAGAATATATGTACCAAAATGGGCATGTCCAACAGTCTAGTGAACATGGGAAACCAATCGAGATTTTGCAAGTTTCTCTACCCTCTGTTGCTCCAATATTTGGAACCGAGACTGATTGGTGGGTATACATCAGCAGCAGATGTAGATGTGGAAGATGAAGTCCATGGCCCTTCAATTGACATACTCTGGATCTGTCCTGCACTCGTATTCTTACCTTGGTTCTGTTGAAAATGATTTTGGATGGCCTTATACCTTGACTCATCATAGCTTGGTTGTGAAACAAACTCTTGAATGATAGCTCCGCCTTCAAGCATGCTCACAACTGCAGACATAGCAGGCCTAAGTGCAGGAGATGAATTAGTGCATAGTAGAGCCACATTAATCATCCTCATGACCTCACCCTTGTCAAAATCGGATCCCAACCTTGGATCCACTAAGTCCATCAAATTTCCTCTCTCTTTCAGAATGAGGGCCTAAAAATGTAAACAAAAAATAAAGAAAAATCTGCTAAGGCATTCTTATTTCTAATTCAAGCTAAATAATGTAATAGTTTTGAACTAATCTCCATCAAATTGCTAAATAATAGCATACAAGATAAGAAAGACATCTAAGTTACCCAATCAAGAAGATCAACACATTCCTCCTTCAGCCTGAAACTAGTGTTGCTTCTTCCACTGACAATTTCCAAAGCAACAACTCCAAAACTATAGACATCTGCTTTATCGGTCAGGTAACCTTTCATTGCATACTCCGGTGCCATGTATCCACTGAAAACAAAGATTAGCACATTATATTTTCACTTTATTAGACATACCAATTATAAATCTATAGCTTGTACAAGAAAGCTTAAATATTTTTCTCAAAGTGTATGATTCTAATAATTTTTCCCAATTGTAACTATTAAAATTTAACCAGTAACTTTGGTTTCTGGAACAGGTAGATAGATGCTTTTGAAAGTCAAAACTTGAAGATTAACAAAGTATGTTTTGGTAGTTTACCAAAAGACAGTTTTGGTAAACTAAAGTTCACTGATTGGGTTAGATTTCTAGAAGGTTAACAAAGTATGTTTTGAAGTTTTGGTTCTAGGGTCACATTTTGGCTTGATCTCTGGTGTGGTGATTCTACTTTTCAGAAGTTCTACCCTCTCTCTTCCAAATAGCTCAAAGTAAGGAGACCATGGTGGCTGCGGTTCAAATTCAGAATGGGGGTAGTGCAGTTCGGAACCCTCTTTTCAGGAGAGATCTAAATGATTAGGGCGTTCCCCAAGTTTTGGACTCACTGCAAAAGTTACACTATTAACCCAAGCATGCATGCAAATGACAGAAGACCTTGGAGATAGAGTAAGGATGGAATGTTCTTGGTCACAAAGGTTGCCTTCTAGTTTTAATCCGCTGTCCTTAACAAGTGCTTGACAGCTGAAAACTTGTCAAAGAGAGGTTTCCATGTAGATAAATGTAGATAAAATAAACTGTAATTTCTGTATGATGAGACAGAAACAGTAAGTCATGATTTTGCATTGTCCTGTTATCAAATGTCTGTGGGCTTGGCTGTTTGACATCTTTGGGGTACAGTGATGTTCCCCTGAAACAATGGAGGATGCTGTTAGAAGCTGGCACATATGACATATCTGGTTTGAGTAAGAAAGGGAAACTGGTTTGGGGAATCATTCTTTTAGCGTTGATATGGACCATCAGGGAGGAAAGAAATGGAAGAATTTTAAAAGGAAAGAAAATAAGAGGGCATGCTGAAATCTCTTCAGAGAAGAATGTACTCTTGGGTGGCAGCTCAAAGATTATATAGAAACACCCCATACAGTCATTCTTTTGTTTATGAATGTACTCTTGGCTTTGTATGTTGTAATGTCTTTTATATTTTTCTGATTTTATAATACAATGCCTCAAACTTTTCTCAAAAAAAAAAGTATGTTTTGAAGAAGAGTTTATCTATGTTTATGGCCTCTCCCTTTTTCTTCACTAAGATATACTAGAAGACTACAGTGTGCTCCTTTTCTCTTCATAAAAAATAAAATTTATTACTACGAACAAAAAATGTGGAGCAAGGTCACTCACAAAGTGCCAGCAATTCTTGTGCTTATGTGTGTGTTGTCCTCTTCATCAAGTTTAGCCAACCCAAAATCAGATATCTTGGGATTAAGATCCTTGTCAAGAAGTACATTAGTTGCCTTGATGTCTCTGTGAACAATCTTCAATCTTGATTCTTCATGGAGATAAGTAAGGCCTCTTGCTATCCCAACACAAATCTTCTGCCTAGTTGACCAATCTAATCTTAGTTGACATTCTTCTGGACCTTTAAATCATCAAATCAGCACAAATTAGAAAAACCATCCATTATGAAGTGTATCTGCCTCTTTTCCCAACACAAAAATCTGATTATCATAACGAGTAATGCTGATCTTACCAAACAAAGCATGTGCAAGGCTGTTATTTTTCATGAACTCATATACTAGCAACAATTGATTATCTTCAATACAACATCCATAAAGCTTTACAAGATGAGGGTGTTGTAAAGCAGAAATCATGCCTATTTCATTCACAAATTCACGATTTCCTTGCTTTGATTTGGAAGAAAGCTGCTTAACTGCTATAATGGTACCATCTGATAGAAGACCCTGCATTTTAATGATAAAGCCAACAATGCAATAGTTTTTTTTTTTTTTTGTACTAGCATTTAAAGGAAATAGATTCATGCATTTCTACCAAAATAGACTGGCAGTAGGTTCTTATACCTTGTAAACAGACCCAAAACCACCTTCTCCTATCTTGTTTGCAGCATCAAAATTGTTTGTAGCAGCTTTAATTTGCCTTAGGGTGAAGGATCCAGTATGTAGGTCTAGACTTCTTAAATCTGTTAGAAGACCAGGTAATAATAATTCTATCTTAAAAAGTCATAAATTTCTTAGCAATACTTAATTTGCATTCTACTTGATCAGTCTCAATAAGGTGTTCTGTTCCTCAATCACAAGATCTAATTCTGAAGACATGAATGAAAAGAGAATATGAACAAAGAATGGAAAATAAATATTGAGAATGAATTTTTTCCATTGATGGAATTTGTAAAATTTATATAAGGTAATAAACACACACACCTGGAAGACAAAAAGAAATAAAGAATATTTAAAAAGGATATGACATTTCAGTAAGGATAAAGGAAAATTTGAAGTTCATTATTTCTTACAGTAGTTACTTTTCATTATTAAGAAGTTATTGGACCAACAAAGATCCTGTTTTCATTTTGTTTGTTTTTCTCATTAAAATATTAATTTTATTCTCTTGACTCTTTTTTTTAGTGAGTACCCAATTATATAGATTATTCACATCTAGTAGTAGGGGCTGGGCTCACGAACATTGTATAGTTTGGTCCAATTTGGATTTACAAATTTAAGCTCCCTTAGGAACCAGATCCATGTATGGATCTGGTTGATGGGTATCCAATAAATACATGAGAATATGAATGTTTCCATTTAGAACGGAAACAAGTTGTTTATGAGTTAACAACTTTGGGCATCAAGAAAATTATAGATTGGATGATCTAGGGGGAAAAGCCCATATAACTAGTCATAGCTGATTGATATTACTTTCTCTATACTGATGTAGAGAAAGTACAACTACAATGATAATACTAATTCAAGAAAATCAACATACCAGAAAAATTATTAGCAATTAAACATGGCTCCATAAAGAGTTCAAGAAACACTTAAATCCTAACAAAAACAATCAGACCTAGCTTGAAGTAAAAGAAGTAATAGAGATGAAGCATGACAAAATCTTGACATAAAGAAAAAGTTTTGTAATGATATCGATAGGGGAGGGTGGTGTTCAATATTTTTTCCTTCTGTCTGAATGCCTTTTTATAGCCTTTTGTGGAATATATCAGAGCAAGTATAACCTGGGTAACCAGATCTCTCCTAGGATTTTATCTCTTATCTTTTTGTCCAATTCCCATCTTATTCGTACTTCATCAGGAAAAAGGAACTTCTCTTTTTCCTTCCTGTCTCTTTCTCTTTATTAGGAAAGAAAATATAAAAGACATTTCTCTTTATTCATTTATTTCCTTTAGGTTTAAGAAAAATAATATTTGGGCAATATGTGGCATATCTTTAATTATTTCTCCAATATTAAATATAATATAAAACCCTAAAATCAACAGCTAGATTCGATCAATTACCAGACATTGGATCTCATCCACTTTATTAACTTTGCACAAAGTGCATAATATGCTCCCAACACAAGTAAATCCACTTTTTTCTATTTCTAATTTCAACCCTATGTATGTAATAAAGTTTTGATTTTAGTATTTCTTATAAGAAATGTAAATTTCTAAATACCCAATTATTGTTGATTATTTGGTGGATCAATGTCTATTTATTTCCTAAAATCTCAATTTCTAAATACCCAATACTTCCATTTGTATAGGTACAAAAACGAAATATTACTAGAATAAATCTCAACATATTCTGCAATGTGTCAAAACATTCTATACTCTTCTCAACAACATTTATTTTGTTAATTAAAACAATGTAAGTTTTACAATTTGCATATACATAGATACCCACCAAATAATTTGTTTTAATATGTTTCTGTTACCTTTAGATGCACTAATTTTTTTCTTCTTAAAACAGAATAAATAGTACAATAGCATAAGAATAGTTGTATGTGAATCATAACTTTTCATATTAACAGAATATAATAAAGTAATATTTATAACAAAAATATTAACAGTGGCACTATACAGCAAATTTTTAAACCCTTAAATTTATTTTAGTGGAGGAAGAGGCCATTTTGAAAGGGTCAAATCATTTTAGGAGCATTTTTTTATGATTTTATAATGATACAAGTACTTCAAAGAGTATATTTCTTTATAATTTCAAAAAAAAATATTAGTAGATACTTTCATAAATTGATGGTTTACAATATAAAATTTAAAACTACAGGAAATTTCTAATATTTTTGACAAACAAGTGTCAAATTTTCCATAAGAAAGTAAGAAGCAACATTTTAAACCTTGGTTATCTAGAACTACCTCTGTAACACTTGGACCTGGACCTACAAGACTCAGAAACAATGCACATAAAAAAGTCTTCATACACTTGGGCCAGCCTGGACCTACCTATTGGAACCCCTAATTTTTGCAAGGATTTATATAATAAGTTGGCTGCTACCTTGGTACATTCTGCTTTTGCGGACTTGATTCCCTTTCCACCAGAGGAAGCCTAATACCATGGAGATGAGGACTACCACTGAAACCACAATTCCAGCTACAGAACCTGCTGACAGCTTCTTTCCACCTATTGGTATGAAATCTGCAAGAATAAAGCATATCAAACACTAGGTGATGGTTGAAAGATGTATGGTTACATAACAACTGAGTGACTAGAATAATGTCAAAGTGATTAAAAGGACTTTTAACTCCTTGGTTTATTGAAAACAAATTTTACATGGAAATGGATATGAGAATCAGAACCCAACACATGTTCAGTGAGTCTGACTTGGCAAGATAAAGAAACAAGGACTCGTTGACATATATAGTAAAAGTATAAGCTATAAAATAATCCATTTTTTTTTAATTCTAACATTATAAACCTATAGAAAAAGGTCCAAAAGATTATCTCTGTTACTTGACAATATTTTATAGGAAAAATAGCATTCGTTACATATATTAGTTGTTCACTTATACTGAATAAGCAATGAGAAAAAGCAAGATGTCACATAAAAGTGTCCTTCAAGAATCTCTGTTACTTGACAATATTTTATAGGAAAAATAGCATTTGTTACATATATTAGTTGTTCATTTATACTGAATAAGCAATGAGAAAAAAGCAATATGTCACATAAAAGTGTCCTTCAAGAATTGATGGAGTGTCAGAATCTGATGCATGAATCCCAACCATAAGGAAACCAACCAAACACTAAATTCAACATGCTTGTGCATCCTCAAAACAACTTAGCTTTTCAATAGTCCATGTCCTTTACTTTCTTTCCTCTCCTTTCACATTTAAAGAACAACAGAATATTTATGACAATTACATTAGGAATTGTCATTTCAGTTGACATTTCCAGTGGACTAGAGAGTAGAAAAACATAAAGAATATTTGACTAACGAAATTTAAATCAAACCATCCATTAGTAATTACCAACATAACATTACTGCATACAATTTGTTTTGCAAAAATATATTGCAAACAGAAGAGAATCGCTGCAAAAACATTCAACTTTACCCTCTACAGAGATAGCGGATATCAAAGGACCATAAACTCCTTTAGAAGGGATTGCTGTTGTTCCTTTCCCAGCCCAATAAAAGCGGATTTCTAGAGTGCCATCTTTCACATAAGTTTTAGTGAAGTTTGTAATGATTGGCTTACCAACTCCACCTGCCTCATTTGCTATATTGAAATCTTTCAACACCAGTGTTCCCTGTCATACACTAATCAAATTAAACCCGGTTGACGTAACCAACTGAAATATATCTATCAAATATGATTTACTTAGTTATTTACTAACAATTACCTGAATATAAACATCAAATATGCGTCTTCCAAGGCTACTATAAGTTTCATCATCTGTAAACATGATCTCTGCAAAGTGGAGCTTCACAGTGTAACTTCCATTTTGCAAACAGTATCCATAATATGTGAGAGAGAGGGGAGAAAGGCGTGCCGTCATGTATAATTCATAATTATCTAGGATTTTTGATGCATTGGTTAGGTACTTCTCTGCATTTTTTCCATCTAGGAATCGACCAGTGTTGCTCAATGCCCAGCCATTTTTACTTTCCCAAAAAATGGCAGCACTGCTTTTTTCATCATCGGATTCATATGTGGTATCTCCTAGAATTACTTTTCCTCCACCACAATTTATATGGAGTTTGTTCTCATCTAGAAAAAAAAATAATAACAAATCACTGAATCAGTGTCTGGCTGACATAACATAATCACAAACGGCAATATGTTTGGAGAGGCAGCATCTTGCACCTTCCCAAGGGACTGATTATGTAATTTCTTTCTGATTTAATGGAAATATGATATTTTATCTATCAAAAAAATATCTTGGGTCTGGGAAGACCTGATCCATAACATGCTCTTGGGATGCCAAACATACCATGCATCTAGCATTTCGATGATTAAGGCCCTACATGCAGATCAAATGGACCAAAAACCAGCTAAATTTTGATTTCCAAATATTTGTGATTGTGTTTGAAAGAAATAATGGATGGTGGATAAAAGCTATATTTAAATATTTTAAAAGTTCTAATAGATCAGATGGTGGTCAGACTACATCTCATCATGATTTGGTCCAAACCACCTTTTCTACAGAACTAATCAAGTGAAGTCTTGATCTTGTGAACATCCAACATGTGACAAACCCATTGTAAACAAAGTTCTAATTTTAATGATGCATACTTATAGTTTTTGACAACTTCAAGTATGTTTAGTCAGCAGACAGGAGTTGTAGATGGGCATCATGCCCTACAATTGGACCTATCACATGTTTCAAGAATTAGCACTCACCATTGAATTGCTCTCAACTAAAACATTGAAAACACCAAAAAAATAAGCATAATGAGATGATTATTAATTATCACCATCTAAATTAGATAACTCATTATGCACCATATATTCACAAGCCCAAATATAGGACATCATATATTCATGGGCCTAAATAATAAGACTATATCTAATTTTGTAAGCACTAAATGTAGGGTCCCATATTCCAAATGTAGAGCCCATGAATATATTCAGGTTTAATATTTTTGTGTTGACCAATCAAAAGGATTTAAAAAAGTTAAAATAGTACCCTAAAACTAGAACTTTCAAATTGATCCTACCTAAAGCCAATTTATGCCTCCAATTTTCTTTATTAAGGCGTTCAAGTCATCAATTGAATGTTTATATGGTCGTGAGTGGGGCCTAAATTTGACATCAGACCATTTTTAGCCTATTAAATTCATTACTGCAGTCTAGTCGGACCAAATGTTCTCAGATCTCAAAAGATATGCCAATCTGAGTGAGATGCCCAATCAATTTTCAAACTTCTTGAAGCAGCATTAAGAGTTACATTGAATATAGTTCATTTTACGCCTAGAGAGACGATCTAACATTTTATTCTAAAGTTCTTTAAAACTTTTTTTTGATAAATTAAAGTTCTTTTAAAACTTGAGGCTAAGTTCTTTTAGACCATGGGAGAATTATGCAGGAGACAATACGCTAGATGTGGGTTTTTTGAATCTTATATGTATTTTTGTATATTAAGATAATATTTTGGTTATTTTGCATATTTGGATTACAGCATAGATCTTTTATCACCTTTCATCCTACCAAATTTTAGCCTTAAACTCCATCTAAAATCCCGGTTTCAAAAATTTTGGAAATTCTTTTCATGATAGAAATTTTTATATTTTTGTGGAAAACTTACTCAAAAATGTCTTCAAATTAAACCAACCCATGGAATCAATCATTCTAAACATACCTAAAAAAAGTTGGTTAAATATTCCATCCCTATGCTTAGGGCCTGTTTGTTTCCTCTTAACTCTTACCTCTTAAGAGGAATCTTGTAACTTTAAGAGGAAAATGGCTGTTCGTTTCCTCTTATTCCTTATCTCTTACAAAGGAATCTTATATTTTTTTGTTTTCCAATGATACCCCCAAAACACAAAAGACTTCTCCCTCCTTATAATAATAATTATTATTATTAATTATAATTAAAAGTTAATGAATAATTACTACTTAATTAATTTTTAATTTTTAACTAATTATTACAATAATTAGTATTAATAGTAAATTAATAATTAATTAAATATTTATTATTATTACAGTAATTATTACAAATAATTAATTCATAAGAATTATTATAATTAATTATTCAAAATTAATAATTAATATTTAAATAATAAATATTCATTAATTATTATTAGTTATGACTTCAATCTTAATTAATTATTAATTATTAGTCATTAATCATAATTAACTATTATATTAATTAGTATTATTTAATAATTAACAATTATGAATTAGTAATTATTATTATTATTTAATAAATAATTATTATGATAATTAATAACTAATTATTATAATCGTGATAATCAAATATTAATTAATTATTAATCATTACAAAATTTTTATTATTACTAATTATTAATTATTAGTTAAAAAGAATTAATGTAATTAATTATTATTTAATAACTATAATAATTAGTATTAGTAATAAATTAATTATGAATTAAACATTAAATATTATTATTGCTATAATAATTGTTATAAATATAATAATTATTACAATTAATTATTAAAATTTCATTAAAATTTATAGTAATTATTATTAGTTATAAATTAAATTTTAATTAAATATTAATTATTAGTTGTTAATTAATTTTTAACTATTATATAAATTAATAATTAATAAATATTATTAATTATTAAATAATAATAATGATTATAATTAATTATTATTTAACAAAAAATATTATTAATAATTATTAACTTTTATTAATTATTTATTAATCATTATAATAATTTTTAATATTATTTTTTATTGAATTACATTGACAAACAAAAAATCTCATATATGGGGTTAACATGGGCATTTGACAATTTTCAGAATTCAGAACAACAATCTTTGCATTCAGAGTTCAGAGGAAAGAAAAGTTCACCAATACCAATATACCTCTTAATGTAATTATTACACTTTCAGATGTCAGATGTCAAAGCAAATGAACAGGCCCTTAATCTCTGAAATTTCTATTTTTCCACTGACTACAAAGAATTTGTAGTTCTCAAAGATTTAACCTAGAACCTTTCTAACCCCACTTAACCCTTCCCTTTAGTCATAAATTCATCCCTATATCCTATTGTAGCCAACTAATACCTCCATAGGCTCACCCTCAAGTCGTAATTGACCCTACATCAATTTGGTATTGGAGTACATGATTCTATATCAGCTGGTATCAGAGCTGCCAGCTCTGCATAATGTGCAGATGAACATATTTGGTGACATTTTTTATAGGAATGAAGTTCAATGGATCTGATTTGTTCAATAAGACCAGTGCATTTTAAGGTTTGAGTTGATGAGAAAGAAGAAACAATGAGAGGCCCTAGGGAAAATCAGGTGCTGACAATTAACTTTACACAGGCTTATTGTCGAAGCAAAAGAAGCTGTTTGAAATAGGAATTATATAACCTCACAAGAACATAATTCATTGCATATGTCTAATTCTAACTAAATCTAACATTATCAACATCAAAAGTACCAAAAAAACATTACTAACAACCAAATATGCATAAGTGGCCGGTTCATAGCCATGATATTAAAAACAAAATGTGCATCGTTTACGAAAGAGAAATATAATGAACAAAAGTTCACTCATGCTGATTGGAGCTATTATAATGTTTATGGTTGGGTTTGATAATCTTCTTAAGGTTTAAATAGCACTTGTCCCCTCATTTTTTCTAACAAAAAGACCCTTCCCTATCTGATGTTTTTGAAGTAAATTCTTTCATGTTTCATCTCAAATTATGGGTTTATTATGTTGTAAATGTAACATTTCATTAGAAACGATCATGAATTGTTGAATCTTAAGTGCAACTAACCAAACAGCATAAATATGTAAACTAAGAAGAACAAGCAAAGCAACAGCAGTCTACCAGAATAGCATACTTACATCGTGAACATCTTAGGCTTTGCATGCATGTACCATCTCTATTTCTATACCAATATTCAAGAGCAAGTTGAAATTAATCATCAATTTACAATTGAATTCCTTTTAGATAAGAAACAATTAAATCAAGAGGTGTTCCACGAGTATTTTTTACTAAATCTAAAGGAAAACATGCAATATTAGAGAAATCAAAGTAGAAAACATACAAATTATTTCCCAGAGAATAGCTACCAAACAAGTTTCTGGAAAAAAAAATAAACAAAAAGTTATGGTCAAGAAAAATATGTCTACACAAAAATGGGGAAAAAATGAAATTCCGTAGGTGCTCTTACAGTTTTCCATTGACTCCGTCTTGCTGACAACTAGGATTGCCTGAGCTTTTCAATGAAAAGTTGTTGTAAGAAAGATCACTGTAATTTAAAGTTTATATCAACAACCATTTTCTTGATGGCAAAAAATATAAATAGATAAGGGATGGAATAAGATATATTTTGTGTCATGGTGTACAAAAACTGAACTTTGTATAGGTAACAAGTATAACTGAAACAACGAAAAACTTACATGGAATTTCCTCTAATTTGAGTAGGCACGGAACCATTTAGCAAGTTTCCAGTTAAAAATCTGACAAGATCCACATCAATATTGAGTCGTTGAAAAGTTGTTCATGCAAGAATCCAAAGAACTTGATACAAGATTAACACAGGTGAATTTTGGTTACCTACATGTATTGTATCTTTGATCTCTTATAAAAGCTTCTTGGAATTTGTCCTGTAAACTTGTTAAAGCTGAGGTCTCTGCAGGTAAAGATGGAACTAAACATAACAAGAGAAAGATTGGCCCATAGAATTTTTTACCCCCACTAAATGTTTTCATCAATGGTTATAGGTTATGATTAAAATACCATAGCATAATAATTTTCAAGTATTCAATACCAAAAGATTGACCCTTTGACCAAATTTCTTTTGCTTTTAGTTCTTTTTTGATAAAAAGAGCCCCTGAAGAATAGCAAGGTTTAAAATGTCGATGCCGGTGGAAATGTCAATCATCCAAATATAGGAAGCATGTCAGAGATGTTGTATGGAAATATGTGAAAATCATAGACATGGTAGAAACATTGTAAAATATGGGAAGCATGTAGGAAATGTCGTATGGAAATATAGTAAAACTTATAGACATGGTGGAAACATTATAAAATATGCAAAAATATAGAATGATATTTCATGAAATAATAAAAGAAGCATAAGAACACCTTTTTAAATTATTATCTTGTTCTAAATCATTAAACAAAGCTAAGAAAGAAAGGTTAAAGACCAAAGAATATGTTGTGAAGTTATCTTATAAACCTTAAGATTCAAAACTACATGATAGAATGAGTTCAAGCAAAATTTGAAATCATAGAAAATGCAAATGGTTCTAATAAATCAACCAAATTACTTATTACACAAATAAAAACTAACATTTAACTTCAGGTTTGAAATGAATATCAACTGTCTTCAGGTGGTAATCAAGTTAGGTGGGCAATAACACTGCTACTCAATAACACTGCTACAATATCATCACCAACTTATGTTATAATACTATCTCTTGTACTCCACATAGTGCTGGTAGTGTTCACTAGGGAATATTTCAATTCCAGTAAAATTTCATGTTGCCACCCATGGAAATGGAAATATGTTGTGGAAACCATCTCTTGCACTCCACATAGTGCTGATGGTGTTCACTGGGAATATGTCGGTTCCAGTAAACTTTTGTGCCGCTACCCATGGAAATGGAAATATGTCGTGGAAATATTAGGAAATTTAGGGACATTTTAAGCATGAAGAATAGTATATGGTTAAGTATTTTCTTTTGAACTAACAAATTTCCATAGGAAGATAGAAATCTAGACTTACAAAATTATTAGACTTTCGAAGTTTCCATTTCCTAGGCTCGAAGGAAATTCTCCAATAAGGTTGCAACTCCTTAATATCCTACAATAATAAACCAAAAAAAAAAAAAAAACTCACTTAACTAGTAGATAGGCATACTTCAATAAATTAACATTTATAACCATCCAACTTACAATGTCATCATCATTTTCATGTTATTTAGTAGCGGAAAATTCCCTTCTGTTCCATTTAAGTCACTGATCCTTCTGCATGAGAATACTTGAATTATAAAAACAGAAAAATGATATAGATAATCAAGAGGCGAAGAGAATAGGTAGAGGGAAGAGAAAAAGAACAGAGAAATTAAGGAAGAATGGATCAGAAGAAAAAAGATCATCTACCACCCCTCATGTCTATTTATAATAAAGAATAAACATGTGTACAATGCCAATAATATCCCTGGCTGCCCATATATAAAAAAGAAAAAACAGAAACATAAAAAGGTTTAAATAGAAACATATATCAGCAGTAAAAATAAATAAACATGAGCTTTTAACTAATATATCAATACTCCCTCTCAGGTTGGGTATAGATATTAATCATCCCCAACTTTCTTAAATCCGCCTTCAACTTTAGAGAGGAAGTATTATTCCTGGAAAGAGATGTTTTTTTTTTTTTTGATGGATGGAAAGAGAGGGATTCTTTAAATGGTTATGATATAAAATGAATGTTCTATTTACTATCAAAACATGGAAGTGCATAAACAGTATAGACCAGTGTGTCATCATGATACACTAAACTCAATTAAAACTTGTCCAACCATATGGGGTCGGCTACATGAATCTTGTTCTATCATTCCACTCCGATTTTAAATAAAGTATTCTGTTCAAAATATTGGTTATACGGAGCTCGTTTGAGCAGCTTGTGTATTGTCACATGACCCTTTTAAGTTCTAGCCGCAGCCGCCTCATAAGGGGCCTTGGTGTAATTTCATTCTGTTATTTCAAAACTATAAAAGTGAGGGACTCATTAGACCCCACAGGCCCACAATCAGTTCTTCTAAACCCTCTTCTCTCTTCTTTCTTCCTTTCTTCTCTCTTACAGGACTGCTGTAAACTTGCTACAGCACCTGTCTACTTCTTTTTCTTTGCTATTTTTGGCTTTATTTTACAGCTATGATTGCACTTTGCCAACTACTTCATAGTACACAGGGTACCTTTGACTTTACTTCATAGTACATCCTTTTGTGCTGAATTTATTCTCAAATATGTAAGGACGTGGGAGCAATTGTAAGTTGGACCCCACGGGCTGCAAACGGCCTGCCCAGATGGGCTGGAAAAACAATGGACAATGAGGGATACATGTTTTGGGGCCAAATAATGTAAAAGATAATATTTCTGAGTTCCAGAAGGAGTTGGCCAAGGCTAACCACCATTTTGTGGTGTAAGACTTCTATTTGTGAAAAGCAAAAAATCTCTGAAGTGGCATTCAGTAAATCTGAATCTGTCTGAAAAGCAAAAAAAAAAAAAAAAAAAACTCCGAAAAAGCTCTGAAAGCATTACTAAATCCTGAACAATTAAGGAATGAAGTTGATCAAGTTAAATATATATATATATATAATATATGATGTAAAAAATATATATAAGTCTTGAGGGGGCCAGATTTGACAGCTGGCCCACTTCACATAAATTTAAGTTCTAAATTATTCTGGTTATGTGGAGAGTTAAGCAACCACCCCACGTATGAAGAGTGGGGAGGTTGCTCTAACTTCCCTACCCATAACTACATCCTCTATAAGAGGGGGAGAGCAGAGCAAAAAAGGGGCGATAGATAGAGAAAGAAAGGAGAGAAAGAGAGAAAAGAGAAAATAGAAGAGGGAACCTGCAATTTTACTGATTAGAGAGGATAAATACACAGGTAAAAGATTTTCTTTTTCCTTTTGATCTCTTATCTTCTATCCCTTTAAGCTCTCTCTCTCTCTCTCTCTCTCTCTCTCTCTGTAGAGTTCTGTTAGAACTCTAAATATTATCTCAAATCTTTTGCTTTCTTTGATTGATTGTATTCTATCCACCACAAAAGAAATGTTAAAACAGATAAAAAAAAACAGAATTCTCAGTGGACTTCTTAGTGTGTTACAATAGATTAAAAATAAAGACTAGTATTTGGGACCCACTGTTCTATTCGGTGGATTTTATCCACCTCAAAAGAACTGAACTCTCAGTGGACTGCCTAGTATTACAACAAATTAAAAAAAAAAAAAAAAGAAAACAGAGGTTCATATTTGGGACCCACTATTATTAATGAGCTGCCCAGTGTTTCAACAAGTTTATTGATACCTGTAAAACAAAACAAAAAAAGTCAATATTTGGAACCTACTCACATTCCGTGGGTCTCATCCACCTCAAAAGAATACCATCAATGGAGCATCCACTATTATAACAGGTGCACATGATTCTGGTTTGATGGGTCCCACCCATAAGATCTAATTATCAGAAATTAAAAATTGGGGACCCACTGTCACACTCAGTGGATCTCATCCACCTCAAAAGAAGGTAAAAATTGTTCAGGTTGTGTGGGTCCCACCCACTATAAAAAGGGGAATTTAAAAAGAAGAATTTAATGCTCTAGTGGGCCATACCCACTATCAAAGCAGATTTTAAATAACCAGATTTGGTGGGAGCCCATTCAGCATAGTGGGTCCCACTACCAAATTAGCATAATAGTCCCACTTATCAATAAGACCCAATGTTTTTTTGTTTAAAATATTAGGTCATGCCCACTATCAAATCAGCTTAGTGGGGCCCACTATTAAAATATTCAAGTCAAAAATGTCAAAGTGGGTCATGCCCACTATCAAATCAACATAGTGGGTCCCACTTACAAGCAGGGTCCACTGTTAAAATATTCAAGTTTAAAATGTCAAAGTGGGCCATGCCCACTATAAAATCAACGTAATAGATCCCACTTGTCAGTGGGGCCCATTCTTAAAATATTCAAGTTTAAAACACCAAGTAGATCATGCCCACTATCAAATCAACATAACGGGTCCCACTTTTCAGCAGGGCCCACTATTACAATATTCAAGTTTAAAGCTATCAAGGCATCATAATGGACCTTGCCCATCAGCGGGGCCCATTGTTAAAATAATTAAGTTTAGAATATCAAAGTGGACCATGTCCACTATCATATTAGCATAATGGATCCCATTTATTAGCAAGGTCCACTATCAAGATATTAAAGTGGGTCATACCCACTACCAAATCATTATAGTGGGTCCCATTTGTCAATAGAACCCATTGTGAAATACTTAAGTGGGCCATTCTCACCATTAAATCAGCATAGTGGACTCAATAGTGGGTGGAAGAGACCAAGCTGATGCCTGATAGACCAAGTTGATGGGCTTGCTTATACCTATTATTGGGTTTAACCCTTACAAATGAACTCTTTCACATAAAATCAAAATCAAAGGGTATTTCCTCTAAGGAATATAATTAAGGGGTTTTAGCAGACATAGTGCATACTTATACACCCTGAATAGGGAAACGCTAATTCTACTCAAATTATTTTTCTGTATTTTCTAATCAAAACATGATTTTGGCACGCCCAATGGGACCCTATTCTCCCTTTCATCTTTGATTTCATTGAAAGACTTCTGATGTTCTTATAAAAATAGGTTAACAAGCATGGCTCCCAAAGTAATTGTGTATTATGGTCAACTCACTACCATGGACAAGGGAAAGGCGAAGAGTTCAAAGAAACCATCCTACAAGGAAATATTTACTGTGGAAACAAACCCCCTTGTTGTTGTTTTGCCCTCAATTCCTAAGATTGAGAAGAAAATCAAAAAGGAGAAAAAGAAAAAGGCCGTTAAGACACCCCCTATAAGGAGAAGCCTATGTGTACAGGCTATGCTTAACTCTGCTAAGGTTGCAGGGTTCGAGCCTCCTAAAACTAGTACACTCAAGAAGGTTGTTTCTACAACCTCGAAGATCTCAACATCAAGGGCAACTGCTCCAATTAAGATCATCAAACCTAGGGATAGGACAATTCCACCTACCCAAATCATGATTGGTATCATTCCAGTTAATTTACCCATTCCTCCAACAGCACCGGTCATGATGGTGACTATCTCTAAAGAAAATTCTATTTCCAAAATCTCCACCGAGGTTTCAAAGAAGAAGAATGAAAATGCTTCTACTTCATTTTAGTTGAAACCTTGATTTATTGAACTCAGGTCATCAAGTGGAAACGACTCTACCCTTCGTGGAAAGAAAGTTGTTTTCAATCAAATTTCTTCCCTTACAAAAGAGGCATCAAGAGAGTCTTCTAATATTATTCGAAGGTCTAAAAGATCTTTGAAGACTAAGAAATCTCAAGCTGAAGTCTCTATATGACTTGCTGATTTTGTGGCAAAACAATCACAAAAATCAAAATCAGATATGGAAGCAAAGAAATGGGCATTCATATAAGGATATATGTATGCCAAGCAAGAAGTGATCTTTTTCAAGCTGAGGGCATATACTATGCCCACCAAAGAACTTATATAGAGGACCCATCACAAGAGCAAAGGCTCGATTATTACAAAGTTGGGAGGAGACCTCAAGTGTAAGTTCAAATAGTCAATCAGAGACAATGGATGAGGTGTCTATTGTTCAAAGAATCAACCCAATGTATGAAGATCCTGAATTGTTAGTTCAAGACATAGAGTATATGGAAGAAATGTCTTCTCAGTTTCAGAAAAGTGTAATCATTGCAGATGACCAAGAACCAATTTCTGTGCCAATTCTTGTAATAGGCACTTCAAGCCTAGAAGAAAAAATCCAAGCTATGCAACGAAGACTGGCTGAAAAGGATGTTGAAATTGCATCCCTAACTGCACAATTGGCATCTCAAGCTAGCACTTCCACTAGGGAAACTTCACAGCAATATATGTTTTGATCAGAAAATACAAAAAAAAAAATAATTTGAGTAGAATTAGGGTTTCCCCATTCAAGGTGTATAAGTGTGCAATATGTCTGCTAAAACCCCTTAATTATATTCCTTAGAGGAAATACCCATTGATTTTGATTTTATGTGAAAGTGTTACTTTGTAAGGGTTAAACCCAATAACAGGTATAGGCAAGCCCATTAGCTTGGTCTCTTAGTGGATTATACCCATAAGCGGGCCCCACAATTAGTGGATAGGTCATGGGACCCACCCACTATTGGGTACTTATCCATTATGCTGATTTAATGGTGGCATTACCCACTTAAGTATTTCACTGTG